CTTGTCCTTTCCGGTTTCCGCCTTCCCATTGCTCTGTCTCCGCGCGCATGCGCGCAGTCGCTCTGTGTCGCCGTTAGCTAGCTACGGACATTCCAGTACATATCCGCCAGCGCATAGGATTCGTGCGGTTAATATATATAGGAGTACGTATTTGTGAACTTTGACCACACGGCTAGTGATCCACAGAGGGCTAGGATAAGGAGTTTCAAGCACATCTGCATGTCAGAGAGGATATGTTTGGTCCATGGCTTATCCATCTATTGGGTTGCACAAACGTCTAGGAGCACTAGTTTTAGATTGGTAGTGGTCTAATTAGCTGTATTTGTATTTTGTTGTTCTTATAGTTGTTTGTTCTGTTGTTCCTTAGGCGACTGGGAAATAACTATTTCCAAGTCACCAAAAATTCAAAAATATAAGTCACCACAAGAGCTGATGTGGACTGGTCTAGCTACGTTGGTGCAAGGAGAACTTCTTTCTCCTCACAGACTCATGACCAAAGTCGGAGCTGTCTTGTCCTCGACGTGTTTGGCCAGCTGTTTGGCTTTGGCCGGAACCATTCTTGCGTGCTAATCGTTCGGGGGGGTTTTGATGGTTTGTCCATGGTGAAGCCAGAGTCAGTGTGCTCGAGGAGAGGTGAGGATGGTGCCATTGCATAGGGTTCCAAGTATGGTGAAGCCAGAGTCAGTGTGTAGAATAGAAGGAATGACATTCTAATGGGAACCATGAAAAGAATGGTTCCAAGTATAGGGTTCAAAAAAAAAGATGCAAAAGGAAATAATGAAAGAAGAAAGAAAATATCACGAATCAAAGTGAAATTAATTAGCTGCTCAGTCAAAATATCCAACAAGAATGGAGATCATGATCGAGGACTTCTGATCATACTTCATGATTCTTACGAGTGCGAGACGGATGAGAAATCTTGATCCGAAACTGTCGGCGTTCTGGGAACGGGGGTACCCAGACTTGCCTGCCTGCGGCCCACGGCGTGGCTCCATCAACGGCCCAGTACGGCCCACCTTCAGCATCAACAAACTCAAGACCGTCGCGAGGCGGACGACACCACGACCTACAGAAGGAGCGGCCTCCTCAGGCCGGATCCTGAGGAGCGGAGATCTCTATGCAAGCCTCACCTCGTGAGGTTCAGATGACGTGAGACATGACGACCAAGGCCAGCCGGGCGCCAGCGGGCGCAGGACAACAGTTTCCTCTATGGTGCTAAGGAGGCAGACCCATGCGCGGAGTCCCGAGGAATCAACCAAAGATTTCCATTCCCATGCAACAAGACCAAGACCACCAGGATGGTAGGATGGAGGTCACCGCTGAGCCCACCACGGTGTCACAACCAGAAGCTTTGTAGGCGAAGACTGCTTTTGTCAGGATAAAATGTACTAGTTATCTCCCTTCAAATTTGACCATTGTGGGATCCCTTCCCGCCTTCATTTGAGAAGAGGACCAAGGCCACTATAAATATAGCTTAGTCACCACCATAGGATGGGACAGACCCATTCCAACCCTCACCAGCTCACACCAACATAAGAACAGACCTCCTGAGGTTGTTCTTCCACTGTACTAGTTCATCCTCAGCCCACCTCGAAGCCAATCCACCACAAAGCAGGAGTAGGGTTTTACACCGCAAGGTGGCCCGAACCTGGGTAAACTGATGTGTCCCATTTCCTTCCTGTTCATCGAGCTAGGCCGTGAGATTGGCGAGCAGGCAGACTGGGGAGGTTGAGTTCTTCGCACGCACCCCAGAGTTTGAATCTATCAAGGATCCGCGGATCCCGAAATCCGGCAGAAACATAAGCACTTGAACGGGAAATAACTACTTCTAGAATGCAACAGGGGCGGCGACCCGAGCCCCGCCAGCAGCAGCCCCCAACCTACTCATCCCTATCGCCGCCATTGGTGGTCACCATTGGGGAAAGCCCACGCAGTGGTGGTAGTTGTGGGGTCTTCCCCCACGTGGTGCCCAATCTATTGGATGCGGCATCTGGGGACTCTCAGCGTTGTGGCGACTTGTGGCGGCCTCGCGTGGCACAGGGTGAGCATGACATTTGCAGTCCCATCTGGTGGGCGGTATAGGCAGGCAGGGGCAAGGAGCCTAGTGACACAAGCATCAGTTTCATAGTGGCCACCTCCAGAGCGGGCGCATGACATGCGTCGTAGTGAAGTGCGGCGGATCCGGCACCTCGATGCATATATGGGTAGCTTTGAGACCTGGGGAATGGGAGGCGGGTGCATGATGGTGTCATGGTGAATCGGCCATCTACGGAGGAGAGTGGTGCAGGTACAATAGATCTGGCATCTCCGCCCCCAGCATGCGCGTGGTTGTGCGTGATACGTCCATTTTGCATCATATTTTCCTATGGTTATTTATAGTGTTTTTAATCAATATAACACTTTGTGGAGCAATTCTAATGCCTTTTTTCTCTTAATACGCAAGATTTGCATGAAGAGGGAGATTGCTGGCAGCTGGAATTCCGGACTTGAAAAGGCTATGTCAGAGATACCTATTCTGCACATCTCCAAATGAGCTAAAATTTTAAGGATATTTATTTTGGAATAAATAAAAATATATTAGAGAAAAGTAATACCAGAGAGGGCCACCAGGTGCCCATGAGGCACCAGGGCGCCTTGTGGGGCCCCTGGCTAGCCTCCGGTGCCCATCTTCTAGTATATAAGCCCATTTGCCCTAGAAAAATAAACAAGGATAAGACTTTCTGGACGGAGCGCCGCCGTCTCGAGGCGGAACTTGGGCATGACCACTTTTGCTCTGTGGCGGAGCGATTCCGCCGGGGATACTTTCCTCCGGGAGGGGGAAATCAAAGCCATCATCATCACCTACAACCCTCTCATCGTGGGAGGACGAATCTTCATCAACATCTTCACCAGCACCATCTCATCTCAAACCCTAGTTCATGTCTTGTATTCAATCTTTGTATCAAAACCTCATATTGGTACATGTGGGTTGCTGGTAGTGTAGATTTACAAAGTCATCACAGACGCCTTGCTGTTGATGTACATGTTGCTTACCACTAAAAGAATAAATTAGGTAAATCCTAAAACAAATTCAAAAAAGGGCGATCACTCATGTCAAGTCAAGGATTTGAACTCGAATGGGCTGGCTTCACTACAAAGAATCGGACCAATTGTAGTCCAGTTCTCCATTTTGTTTGGAAGAATAAAATACCTTTCATCCCCACTTCATGCTTTTTTTAACAAAATACTGTATAAACTTAGAACTTTGCAGGTCAATGAAACTCTAGATCTATAATGTGCGTTTTTTGGGTGCAGCATAAACAATAATATCCAACATAAACAATAAAATGAGATATTTTTCCAAATATGCCACATCATTTGAAGTATTTATGTTAAACAAAAACTTGATCTTAAAAATATTATATTTCTAGTATATTGACTTGCAATGTTTGAAGTTTTTTTTGGGGACAAACTAAAAATTGAAGTTGGATGTGGGTCTATGGGTAAAGTCCAAAATCCCCACAAAGAATATGTGGCTGAACCGGGTCATGGGGTATGGATGTTGGATCTTTGCACGGAATATCCCATATGCATGGTAGAAAAACCACTCCCATGGTTGTTGATGGCCTCATTTAACTCTCATGTGTTCTTACAAAAACTATACTATGGTGTTATCCTAGAGAGATGCCATGTAGAATAATTTGTGAGGTGGAAAAGAGAGAAAAAAGACCATTTACTTGTCTTAGCTAAGAGATAGTCTCTTAAGAAAAAGATAAGGCATTTCATTCAGCTGCATGAGATTGTTTTTAGAAAAGGAGGTTCGAACCTGACAAAACAAATATATGGACCAACCCAAAGCCATCTCCGTGGCGATCTCTGTCGCTACACCTACAAGTTTAATGATGTATCCTGACCTCGCATCAATTGTACGAGATGTCTTCTCTTATCCACATGCTTTTGAGTTATTGCTTCAGTTGCCCAATAACAGTAGTTAAAAGGTAACACTAAGAGATAATCCACTGTGTATAATATATTTTAGCCTTCTCTAAATGGCATGGAATATATATAAAGCCGTCTTATAAACTAGATGTATCCTAATTATGTGGTGAGAGATACCATTTCTAAGATATATGATATCTTAATTAAGAGAATTTACAAAACAAAAATCTCAAGGTAAAACTTTCTTTTTTCTAGTTTATTTATCCTGCGTGACATACTATCACATGCCTAACGCTGAGACCCGAAAAAACACTATGTATTCCATTAGAACATGCATAATGATCTCTTAGAAAAGCACATGCCCGAGGAGACAGGGACCATACATACCCATGCAATGATGCATATCTCTACATGGTTCGATCAGGGGCTTGGCTTTTGCTGGGCTATGTACCCAGTACATATCAATGTTAGCTAGGTAGATTGATCTAGTGCATTCCTAATAGGACATCGGCCATGTCTGTGGCCATGAAAGCCTACCCGTGTTGGCCTTTGGACCCGTGCTGCACCGCAACTGCATAGGAGCGCAGCCAGCACAGTGCCATGCACATACACATCGAACAGTTCCGATGTGAAAGCTAGCTATAAGGCGGAAACGGCTCGGGGACATGTAGATCAGTAGTAGATGTGTAGGGTGGTCATTGATCGCGAGAGCACTGACCAGGCAACAGGCCAGGAAAGAGAGGCGCGGATTAACCATCCTCGGCAAGCATGCATGCTCCAGGAGTGCAGGACGCAGCGTCTCAGGCAGTCAGGCTCGGGCGCCGGGCGTTGCGTTGAGTGCCGTCAGTTTCATAGCTGGTTTTTACTGCAAATATGTGTCCATGGAGTCTCCACTGTTTGGCTTGGTCTCCGACAGGGCAGCCCCACATCCACCCCCGGCCGCGCCATAATATCATGGCACCTCTCCGGGGGAGGGAGCTGCCTGATTGATTGCCACATTGTGTATATCCACTTCCAGTCTCATTTGTGGGTTCTCTCTTGTACCTGAGGTAGCTAGCCTGTCGCCCGGCGCCGGTTGCGACATGGACATGGGGAGGGGGATGGGGATGGGGATGGGGATGGGGAGGGGGATGGACAGGGAGGACGGGCTCAACCTCAGCTTGTCACTGCAGCGGTCGCCTTCGTCGCCGCCGAGGTTCCAGGCGGTGTTCGCCTGTTGCTACTGCCCCAGGAAGTTCAGGAGCTCGCAGGCGCTCGGCGGCCACCAGAACGCGCACAAGGTCCAGCGCAACCTGGCCAGGCGAGGCCGGGACGCCACCACGGCGCTGTCGTTGGCGGCGGCGGGAGATCAAGGTAAGGCCGCCGTCGATGACGACAGCGCTCCGCTGCGCCCAGCGGACCCCGACGCCGCCGACGCGTGGGGAGGGGGGAGGGTCTACCCTCCTCATCGCCAGCAGGGCTCGGGAGCAGCCTCGTCCGGTGCGGCAAGAGGCAACGAAGAGCTTGCGGATGAGATGATTGACCTGTCCCTGAAGCTATGATCGCTCGATTCAGATGCAGGAGCATGGGCTAGCTAGCTTGGCCCGAGCGGCATGAAGTTCCCCTCTTCCATTTGTTTCATTTCTGCGCGTCATTTCTTGTGTGTGTTTCTGCTATCGCTTATCAGGTTAATTATTGTTGTTGGCTGGTTTCTGCAATGGGCTTGAAACTGTACTCGATCTTCAGGTATCTCCATGCATGGATATTGTTAACTATACTGATCAGAAGCCTTTTATTTTATGGAACTGTTTGCAGTAATCTACTAGTTCTTGCCTGTAAATGACAAAATGTGCGGTCCTAGAATAACTTATCTCTTTGATAAATCTAGAGTAATGTTGAACTCTTTACATTCCCAGTTCTGGTTAACTAATTCAACTACCTAGCTGCCTCCTTGTTGCTTCAAGGGTTTCTCATGATCAGTTTAACTCTTCCGGATTTACATGACCAATTGCCGTTGGTAGGGCCTTGTCCTAGGGAACTCCTGTTTAGATAGAGTGAAAATTACTAGCACAGCACAGCACTAGCTAGTATACTGATGAGAGACACCTCTGCCTCAGATCAGACGCCTTAATTGTTGAGATTTACATCCTTGCGTGATTCTCCCTCGTCCCAAGTTGAGTCATTTATTTTAGAATGTTGTATTAATTTTAGTACAAAGTTAATACAAATTCGAGTCACTTATTTTAGAACGGAAGGAGTATATACTACTTCATTATAGGGGAAACGCGCGCATTCTTATGTTTTTAAACAGGCAATGCGTCTGGTCGGTTTTTTTAGTATATTGATTTACATCCTCGTGTGATATAATATGTTTAATTTTAGCGGAACTATTCGCATTTTCTTTTGTTTTTTTAATTGAGAGGCAATTCATTTGGCCGGTGTTTTCAGTAATTAACTAGTACTGCTAACGCTGACGGCCATTCTTTTTTGCTTTTGCTGTTTCCCATCTGGGATTCTGGGTATAGGATGAACGGGAACACACTAGAATGCTAAAAACATAGAACTGGAACTTGCAGCCATCTCTTTTCTCCCTTTTTCTGATTTAACCTAGTGCACTAACTACTCAATGCTCGCAAATCCACCATGAAAGAACATCATCACCTCAGAGAGCTGCGCGCTCGTAGATGCGTCCGCCACCGATTAGGGGAAAAAGGCCATATATATAACACCTGCAAGGCAGGAAAATGCCGCTTGGCCGCTGCAGAGCGGCCCTGTAGGGTTTTCTGCATGAGGTGC